CAAGGCAAATCCGCCATTATTTGCCAACCGAACCGCCGGTTTTTGATAAGGAAAATGGCAAATTCTAGTGACACTTTTATCAATCCGCTACCAGCCATACGGTTTCTATTTTTCTCTCAAACCGCACCGACCCGCACCCAGCACACCCCTATCTGTAATAGATCATTGAACTCATCTCTACTCTCTTTGTCTATTTCAACACTATTCATTCTGGTGATATTTCTCTATCTAGTAAATGCATCTATCTCGAAACTCTAGCTCTTTCACATTAATATGTCATACATACACATACTTTTGGCCGTAGTTATGATTTGAAAGGTTTTGTTATCATCAATTTGTACATGTGTTATAGAACAGTTGAAATTGAATATTATGCATTTAGTTGTACTGTTCTGCTATCTCAGTCATCTTCATCCCTCAAGCATCTCTCTCATTCTTTGCTGTCATTGTAGATATCTCCAATGTTCCTTATCGGAAATGAGAACACATTTGACGTCATTTTCACAGGCGATAAGCCCATTCAGTCTCTCTTTCTTATTTTCCCTTTCCTCTTGCTCTACTAGCTAATCTTCTCTAACTCTCATTTTCTGTTCCATGGCTTTAAGTCGTTGAATAATTATTTAATGATTATCATTACAATTTGTTTTCTCTGTATTATGAGAGATCCCGATTGGTGATTCTAAGATTTTTAGTGATTTGTTTGGCCATTTTATGATAATTGTTATGAAACTTTGTTGCTTGATTACAATATTTGTGGTTTATAAAAAAAAATTGGATATTTTTGCTACATCAATTAGTTGTGTTGTTATGCATTTTGTGATTGATGTTATGAAATTTTTTGGGTTGGTCATGACATTTGTAATTTGTAAAAATTTTGATTATTTTTATTATGGTAATTAGTGATGCATTTACACATTTTGTTATTGATGTTATTAAATTTTGTGAGTTGGTTATGACATTTGTGGTTTTTAAAAGTTTTAGATATTTTTGTTACACCAATTAATGGATAGTTACATAATTTTTTGTTAATGTTGCAAAATTTTGGGAATTAGTTACGACATTTGTGATTTTCTATAATTTTAAACAATTTTGTTATGCCAATTAGTGATGGCGTTTTATATTTTGTGTTTTATATTACAAAATTTTGTAACTTGATTATGATAATTGTGGTTTCTAAAGTTTTAAATATTTTTATTACGGCAATTAATGGTGTGATTATACATTTTGTAGTTGATGAGTAAAATAGTCTTTTTTATTAATTTTACTTAATAAAAATAGATGAAGGATTTATATTAAAAGAATTAAAAAAATTTAAGTATAAATTGACAAAATTATAAATTAATAGTTTATTTTATTATAAAACTATTCATAAATGTTTTAATTTTGTTTTTTATAATGATTATTACATAATATCAGCCCATTTTCTCCAAAAATTTGGAACAAACATCCAAGTTTTGTTAAAATCAAAATTCCCTCATTAATTGTTTTTGACAAATCCCTAGACCCTTTCTTTAGCCCAAACGAGAGAGTGAGAGAGAGAGAGAGAGAGCAATTTCTGGACTTGGGGTGTGCCGCGAGCTTTTGGGCCAAATTTACACCCCTACATGTGAGTAATGGTTATAAGATATGTGATTAGTAGTTATGATAGATGTGATGTTGTTTATGAGGCAAATGGTGTTGGTTATGAGATGTGGTTATGACATAAGTGGGTAAAGGTTATGAGATTTATGATTAGTGATTATTAGATATATGATTTTGGTTATGAACAAAGTGATGTAGTTATAAGTCAAAGGGTATTTGGTTATGAGATACGTGATTAGTAGTTATGAGATATGTAATATTGGTTATGATCAAAGTGGTGTGGTTATGATATATATGAGGTTGGTTATGAGATATGGGGATAATGGTTATGAGATATTTGATTAGTGATTATAAGATATGTGATTTTGGTTATAAGTAAAGTGTTGTCAAAGGGTGTTTGGTTATGCTATGTGTCAGTGGTTATGCGATATGAGATATTGGTTATAATCAAAGTGGTGTAGTTATGAGTAAAAGGGTTGTTAGTTATGAGATATATGACTAATGGTTATGAGATATGTGATGTTGGTTATGAGTCAAAGGGGTTGGTTATGAGATGTGGTTATGATTCATGTGGGTAATAGTTATAAGATATGTGATATTGGTTATGAAGAAAGTGGTGTGGTTATGAGCAAAATGGTGTTAGTCATGAGTTATGTGACTAGTGGTTATGAAAAAATGTGTTGGTTATGAGATATGTGACTAGTGGTTGTGAGATATGTAATGTTGGGACCCCTGGACTTCTCTGATTTCCTTTGCTCTCTTTTTGGTAACCGGTTACACCGGTTGCCAATTCAAAATTAAATTATTAAAATAATTTAGTTTTGTGGTAGTTATGAGATAATATGGTATGTATGAAGAACTAAATATAAATAAGTTATGAGTTAATATGATAATGGTCGTGATCTATATGATATTAATTATAATATAAAATCACATATTCTCATAACTGATGTATAGTACATCCAAATGTACCATAGCATCACCGGGAAAGTCTATAGTATATTTTGTTAAAAAATGTACGGTACATAGAAAATCAATGACTAAGATTGAGCCACATCATTAAAAGTGACCTGTTTATAGTATGTGGCTCAATCCTAACTATTGATTTTGTATGTACCGTACATTTTTTATACAAAATGTACTATAGACTTTCCCTCTTCTGGGACCCTTTTGTTTTAACACAAACTGTAATAAAAGTAATTTTGGTGCTGTTTCTGATTCCAAAAGCACTTTGTAGTGTACGGAAATGCTCATAGGATTCTTTGAAGTGAGGAGTGGTATCTGATTTTGCTGTTTTGAGCATAGGACATTTCTTCTTCCACTGAGCAAAGTATAATACCCATAACATTTTGCTGTTAATTTGTTGTCAACACTATAAATTGGTGCATAGAGGGAGTGTTTCATCACTGGCCCATTCACAATAAGAGTTAGAAGGGTAAGAATAACGCTATATGTAGCTCATAATTGATTCTGTACTTAATTGAAAGAAGCAATATCTTTTATATGAAGATGTTCTTATATATGTTTCTCTCTCTGTGCATGAACGCATGATTCATTATAAAAAATTAAGGTTTTAGAAACTAAAATTTAGGAATAAAATTATTTTTTAGAGACCAAATATTTTTGTTGCAAAAAATGTTATTATATTTTTAGCAAGAAAAATTGAACATTAGTGATGAATTATTATTTTTTTGGGACCAAGTTTGTTGTCTAAAAAATAAATCATTTTGAGACCAAATTATTTTGTTCTTAAAAGTCTATTTATTAGTGATATTTTCAAAATTTTGTCGCTAAAAGCCTTGTTTTTTATTTTTCGGACTGAGCTTTTAGCGACTATCCTCACGACGATAGAAATTGATTCCTAAATGTCTTTTGCAACAAAATTATCACTTTTAGAGACTAAAACATTTGGTCTCTAAAACTTCTATATGTTGTAGTAATTCAACCTATCAAAAGCATCACTAGTTTGACGGGGCAATCCTAGATCGCCTAGGGACAATGGCGGAGTTAGGAAATTAAATTAGAGGGGGCACTTATTAATTAAAATTTTTTATTTGAAAAAAACATGATTAACATTAAGATAATAATAATTTTATGAGCTAAATTTAAGCATAAGAAATTAAAAATCATTATTAATAGGAACAAATCAAAATTCTATAATAGTTTATAATAGCTCGATGCAGGATGGTGATGTAAGTATGTAATTTTAGCACAAAAAATTATGGATCAAAATTCCTAATTTTAGAAAATAAAAACACATCATTTATAGCACAAATTATTATAAAATCTATTTAATTTTTATTTGATAAAAAATATTAAAGAGACGATATTGCTTATAAATGATGTGTTTTGAATGGAAATTATTAAATAGTCTTAGAGTATCATATGGCGTTGCCTATGCGATGCTCAAAGTATGAGAAATCATAAATCACACTATGTACTACCTGAAAATAGTGAGTTAATTATATTCAATCCATACGATTTCCCACTATATTATTGGTTTGGACTACTACATAAAAGTACTCCTAAAGTATCAAATAACTACTTATTGTGAACAAAACAATAAATCCTTAGTCAAAGAAAATGTTAAGAAAAAAAAATACATTTTGTATATGATCACAAAACAAAAATAAAAAAAGTTCAAAATTGAGAGGGGGCACGTGATCCCCTTGGGCCTTCCTCCACCCTTGCCTGGGGAGACGGATTGACTTCACTTTATAAGCATATTGCCCCCTCAACCTGTGACAACGCGTTTTCCTTTGAGGAGGAACAAACCCGTGAGGCTGATGAGGCTCCGCGTCCACCTCGCCAAAGCAAAATTGTGGCAGGCACGCAGGCGCCAAGCATGCGCACTTTGTTCCTCCTCGGGAGAAAACACGTTGTAATAGATTGAGGAGCCAGTACGCTTATAAGGTGAAGTCGGTTCGTCTCTCTAGGCGACGTGGGATTGCCCCAACATAACCCCAGCGGGCTGGGTCCGCAACAGCGAGGGAAGAGACGGGCCCTCCTTCTAGCGCCAAATGCGCGTGCCTGGCGCCTACAATATTGTCCGCTTTAGCGAGGTGGGCACGGAGCCCCGCCGGCCTCACTGCCTTGTTCCTGCTCGAGAGAAAACACGTTGTAATAGGTTGAGGGGCCAGTACGCTTATAAGGTGAAGTCGGTCCGTCTCCGTCTCCCCAGGCGATGTGGAATTGTCCCAACTTTTGACACAAACTGTAATAAAAGTAATTTTGGTGCTGTTTCTGATTCCAAAAGCACTTTGTAGTGTACGGAAATGCTCGTAGGATTCTTTGAAGTGAGGAGTGGCATCTCATTTTGCTATTTGAGCATATGACATTACTTCTTCCACTGAGCAAAGTATAATACCCATAATATTTTCCTGTTAATTTGTTGTCAACACTATAAATTGGTGCATAAAGGGAGTGTTTCATCACAGGTCCATTCACAATAAGAGTTGGAAGGGTAAGAATATTGCTATATGTAGTTTATAATTGATACTGTATTTCATTGAAAGAAGCAATATCTTTTATATGAAGATGTTCTTACATATGTTTCTCTTCTATTTGCATGAACGTATGATTCAACCTCTTGATCAAAAGCTTCACTGGTTAATCAGAAACCTCACGACTAGCTAGCCTTGTCTTCAACGCCGAGTATTTAAGGTAATTTTCTTTTACATCGTCAAAAATCAATTTTATTGATGAGATAATGTAGTATATATGACAGAAAAACATCAAACTGGAGTTTGGACAAAAATCATTGTTGCTTAAAACCACATCCCAAAAGATTATGCAAATCCCAAACCAAAACAATCAAAAATAAAATACCTCTACCAATACAGAGAGTATTTCTCCCCCATTGTTGGACCCGTCATTGTTATGTTGGTTGTTATGGGGGCTCTTTTTTCTTCCATTGATTTTTAGGAAGAGTTACACGTGTTGTTGGACTGTGATTTTTCAAATTGTGTATAGAGTGAAAAAAATGCTATGAGAAATGAGATTGTGTACTTTTGTGAAGTGTCTTGTGTTACTGTACATTCAGAGTACTTTTTTTTCTTTTTATTTTCTTTTTTACTTTTTTTTTTAACCAAGGCGGAGGACCAAGACTCTGAGCCGGAGTAAAAGGTCCAAGAGGAGCCCCTGGCCCAAAGATTTAGTGGTATATATTGTTATTTTCAGGTAGCGTTTTAGAGTGTTTCACAAAAGAGAGTTGCGGAATTGTTCTTGAAATGCTTATTGTATATGGTGGATTTTCCCCCCACCATAGACGTAGGCGTCTCGCCGAGTCAAGTATATCTTATATATCTGTGTTCTCTATGTGTGCTTTGATCATTTATTACTATTTTATTATGTGATTGAAGCCAATATTAATTTTGCACATATGTACAGCATTTTCCTTTCTCGATCCTCGAGTTTTATTTATTTTCTTGGGCAAATTATAACGGTAGTCGTTGTACTTTGATTCTTGTCATTTTGGTACTTATAATTTCAATTGACTCAATTTTTACCTTGAATTTATGACCGTCTCAAATTAGTCCAATTGATTATAATCCTTAACATTTTGTTAATGAAAAATGTGGCACGTGTTGCATGTGTAAGGGCAAAATTATAAACTTACTCAGCTTAGTGAATCTCTTAATTAATTCAGTAATAATTTTCTATCAAAACACTAAAGCATTATCAATTAGACTAAGTTGACACAAAATTTAAAATTAAAAGTTAAATTGAGCCAATTGAAAGTGTAGAAACAAAAATAACATAAGAGACAAAATGTAGGGACTATCAATGTAATTTGCCTTATTTTGTTTTTTCAAGCCTAAACTTTGCATCATGCAAAATGTTTTCAACGTTTCATTGCTATGAGTTAGGGCTAAGTAAGGAATCCGTGAAATCCGTAATCCGATCCACTTCAGTCCAGTCCAATCCGATAGGTTTGGATTGGTTTTTTGAATGCATGGTTCAGTTCCGGATTGAATAATTAAAAATCCGTAGTCCACAGATTGGTTTCGGATTGAACCCCACGGTTCCGGATTGGAACCGATCCGAACCGTATACAAATAGTCTATATTTTTACTATACATCCTCCCCATAGTATCTTCTCTTATTCCATATAAAACCTAAACTCAAACTTAAACCCGCATAATATCTTCTTTTATAACTTTTGTTTGTTAGTTTTTAGTTTTAATTTGTAATGGTTTAAATACTTATGGTGAAACCAATTCTTATGGTTGTTTAAATTCTAGAACAGTATGTCGCTATTATAGAAAGACATGCTGATATTGTGGAACTAATATAGAGCTATGTTTATGTTTTTATGAAATTAAAGTGTTATATATACATTTTTTTGTTATTTAATTATGTGAATCCGTGGTCCTAAACCGATGCAATCCGTGTTTAAATGGATTGGTTCGGATTGGTTCCATGATTTAAACGGATTGGATTAGTTCTAATTTTTTAAGAACCGTAAATAACGGATTGGTCCTGGTTTTACCCCAATCCGGTCAAATCCGGAACATGCTCACCCCTACTATGAGTTACTTCTATATATGATTTTCGGCTTGAGAATTCGAGTACTATTCTAGCCAACTCTTGGGAATTTGTTTATTACAAAATATCTTATTCTATTTACAGGAGACATTTACATATGTCCAAACAAATTTCTGATCATGTCTCCCGCTATATCGATGAAAAGCTTTCTCAATTATCTCCAACACGTACTGAGTGTTGTATATTCAGAGTGCCAGACCGACTCCGTAGGGAAAATGAGAAAGCCTACGAACCGGAAATACTTGCTATTGGTCCTTACCATCATGGTAAAGATAACCTCAAACAAATGGAAGAAAACAAATTATGGTATTTGCAAAAGCGTGTTAAACAAAGAAATGAGACAAGCGTGGATAGATATGTCAGGGCCATGAGAGAATCGGAAGAAAGAGCGCAGAAATCCTATGAAGGCTCCATCAATCTCAACGCAGATGAATTTGTGCAAACGATGCTTCTTGATGGCTGTTTTATCATCAAGTTGTTGTTAGGATCAAAGACACCCAGAGAATTATCTCACACACACAGAGAACACAATATTTACGTGGTTCGGCCCAATGCCTACATCCACGGACAGAAATGAGAATTATCACTAAAATGGAGCAAAAATACAATTACAGAGGAGGAGATGAAACTCACTCAACTCACAGCTCTCACACTCAATTTCTGATCTCTCTTGGTTCTCACTCTCTCTCTGTCCATTTCAACTCTCCCCTCAACCTCTATTTATACACCAATGAGGGAGAGCCTCATTGGTCACCACCTACCTTCTTCCACTCTCTAATGGGGTTGGTAGAGTGGGAGAGCCACTTCCATTGGGTGGAGAAAGTGGGCTCTCCAATAGGAGCTCACATGGGATGAACCAACAAATCACCCCCTCAACTCATGTGAGGTGATCCAGTCCACACACTGCTGCTAATCTTGTCACGCCCAAAAGACCAACAGAATCTTCATCTCCTCACTGAGACATTGCATCCCCTGAAAGCTAGAGATAATACACCAGAGATACAAGAGGAGGAGGGAATCCTACATCCTCAACTCAACTCACACCACTCTCTGATTTGGAGAGAGCCTCTGCTCCTATCTCCCACAAATCTCTTCCACGCTTCCTGTCTCGGATATCTTCACTTGCTATGCTTGAACTTGCGCAACCAAGATATCTGACACCCCCTGATTGGATGTCCTGCACCCCCTGCTCGGGATACCCTTGCATTACCGTGCAACTCCTTGCATGATGAACACGGGAGCAACTAGAAAACTTCAGAGTGTGACACATCAATATCCTCAATTTTCCTTGCTCGGAGCTTATTTCTGAACAACCAGCCTTTGCATTCTGCACTTCAGAACAACTTCCCAGCGATCTCATACGCCCGTTGTCTGTGCTGCAATCCCTGATGTTCGGTTCAGTCTCACTTGTACGTCCGTACTGATGTTTGACAGTTAGCCCTTCTGCCAAGACAACTTCCACCGGTCTGTACAAGTTACCACTATGCAACTCCGTGCATAGTGCTCGCACCCCCTTATTGGAGTGCATTGCAACGCTCACTTTGCGACTCGAGATTGCATCCCTCCTTTCCATGCATCTTTTGAGAGGTTGCAAAATGTCTCTAACACGGAAGCAAAAGAAACTCTCTTCTTCACTGGCATAGTCTCTACAGACTTGGTTTCTTTGCTCTGAACTTTCTTCAAGATTGGCTTCACTGGCTCAGATCTGTGCACCTTTGAACTGCCTCCTTGCGTTCCCGTGCACCGTTTTCGCCATTCCTGATGAAAGCCTTGCTCAATCATACGCTTTGGTTGCGTATGTTCTCTCTTTGTACCCTTCGACTGGCATTTGACAACACTCATCTTTGTCAAAACTTCTCCTTCCAGTCTGTACAGTTTGTTGCACAATTTGCCTTGCAACATTTCTCTATCACCTCTGCGTACATGAAGAACCCCGCCACTAGATGAGAAACAATTTCCTTTTAGATCTAGCATACTCAGGGAGATTAGATTCCTCCGTACTCCTGGCACATGTCGGACCTCAGATAAAATTACTTTTCTTCCATCCTTAGTAAGGAACCGCACTGTCCCTATGCCGACAACTCTGTTCACTGTGTTGTTGGCCATCCGGATAATGCTACCGCTGACTCTTCGGTAAGTGGAGAAAAGCTTCCTATCCGCACATATGTGGAACGTACACCCTGAATCCAAAATCCAACCGGGTGTTTCCAACTCTGACGAGATTGTAAGCAACACCTCTTCATCGTCAGAGGAATGCACTGCAACTGCTGTAGTTGAGGGACCTCCGTGTCCCTTAGCCTTCTCTTTGGCTTGTCTGTCCGCCTTTTTCTCTGGGCAATCTCTTATTACGTGATCCTCTTGATCACAGTAAAAACACCTCCTCGTGTTGTCCTGTCTGAACTGTGAACGCCCTCTGCTTTTACTTCTTCCTCTACCTCTGCCCCTTTCTCTATCTCTGCCTCTACTTTCTGTGACAAGGGCATGAGACTGCTCTCCGTCCATCTCTTTCTTCCTTGCCTCCTCGTTGAATAAGGCGTCTGTGACCATCCCCATGGTCAGCTTCCCTTCGGGTGCAGAATTACTGAGAGAAACCACCAACGTCTCCCAGCTGTCTGGTAAGGAACTGAGTAATAATAATGCTTGCATCTCATCCTCCAACTCCATTTTGATTGATGCAAGCTGGTTCACAAGGCTGTGGAATTCACTGGTGTGTTCAGCAACAGACACACCATTCTTCAGCTTCAAGTTTATAAGCCTTCTCATTATCAAGGCTTTGTTCCGTGCGGTCTTGGACTGGTACATGCCCTCCAATTTCATCCATAGGGCATAGGCGTCTGTCTCTTGGGCAACATGGTGGAACACACTGTGGTCAATCCACTGTCTGATTTGACCGACAGTCTTCCGGTTGGTTTTTATCCAGTCCACATCCTTGTCTCCATCTGGTTTGACCCCCTTTAGCGCTATAGGATCAAACAAATCTCTACAATACAGGACGTCCTCCATCAAATGCAAAAACTCATGCAAATACACATTTCAAATGTAAAGCAAATATTTAAGATTTTTAGGCAC